GAAACCAGTCTGACTGCCCAATAAATAATCGAGCAGAACCAGCTGTGAAACAGAAACACATAGACCAACAATGACACTGAATTCTGAAGTTGATTTGACAAAATATCAACTGAGGTATTTCCCTGATGACTTAAAAAGGGTCAAGGAATAGGAATTTGAGTATGGTTCTGGCCACTCCCAGGATGTTGATTACTGATATACCAAGGATTGACAGATTTATTATAGGCAAGGTAAAGTCTTTGCCCCTGAACATTTAATGGAAGTTCTAACAAGTCATATACACCTGAGTACCCATTTGGGGAGGGTATTCACCTTCCAATGGATAAAAGAAATCCAATATATGAACTCACTTGCAAAGGACTGATCCAAAGGTGACTCAAGGATGTATGGTGAATGCCAAAAATGGCCCCCAAAGAAGTCCCCCACCCATAATAAAAGGACCGTAATCCAGAAGCACTGGAGCCAGGAATTATTGGGAAGTATCTTTGGCTAGAGACTACTTTGGACAGATAAGATTGAGGCAATCTGGGGCTGGGCCAATGCTGTTCTCTGCTGTGCAGCTGGGTCTTGGGAATCTCCCCAAGAAACATACTAGGAGAGGGGGGCAACCAACTGTATTGGGTGGAGGGGCAACCAACTGTACTGGCTGGAGGGGCACAGAAGGTCTCGTGCACTCTACCACCCACAAATCTGGTCAAATACCTGACCCCAGCCAGCTCATTGTCCATGTCACCAGTCAAAAGGAATGTGAGCTGCACTCCCTCCTGCATTGCTGATCTGAATCTCACTGCATATGATCTTCTCTGTGCCTGCTTCAGTGGCATTCCATGAGGACCATGCTAGGCCACAAATAGATGGGGCTGGGACAGAGTGGCAATATTTGCGTAGTCTCCAGGGTTTCTAAAGCAGCAAGCTTGGGTGTGACCTCCATGAAATGGCTCCCTACCACAGCTTTTTGTTTATAAGAAGTATGGAGCACTTCTCCAGTGCCACCTCGCTGTGCTGCTCCAGGATCAGCCAAGATCAGACTGCCTTTCTGACCTACAGTTATTCTATGCTAACTTTGTCCACTACCTCTTTCCCTCTGTGTAACCCCTTCCCTCTGCCATGTTTAGCATGGCTGCTGCAGGTTCCACACTGATGCACTTTCTCACTCTGTTCCCAAGACCAGAATCTCTGGGTCTCTCCATGCCTCTGACAGGCCAACATTGAACTTGAGTGAATTCCCTCAGTCACCCATCTTGCTGAGGAGCTTCTTTCCAGCTACTTGAATCCTGAGCTGCAAAGAAGCTAGACGGTGCTGCTTGCCTCTACCCAACTATCTTGGATCCTCAATCTGTTTTATTGATCATGGTTTCAAAAAATTACCGATTCACTGTCAACCAATGAGCCCTTAAGCTTCAATAATACAGCTGGCTAATCATGTTCCTCTGGGTACCTGCAGAGGTAACTAAAGAGATAACAGAACACAAAGGTCACCCTGGGATTACAGATGCCTGACTCATGGCATAGGGAGGACAATGCCCTTTAGGATACTTGACCACAGCCTTCACTGTTTCCAACACAGTGCCCCAGGTTCTCTTCAGCATCATACTCTCTAAAAAATTTCTGTCATGAATGACTACCCTGACAACCCCCAGCCTGGGAAGATGATAGCTGTGGGCCTTCCTGAGGATGTGGTTTACCAGAAGCTGATCCTAGTGGCTGGAACAGTAGATGGATATGGTATGATAGAAAGTGGGGTTAAACTGCAGAAATGTGCCCTTGGGTTCCATCCTTAGTAAGACCTACATATTGGTGGGTCCATGGCCATTGTTCTCAAAATTGATGATTAAAACAAAAATCAAGATCCAAAGACAAAATATGCCTAATTTCACATGAATAATGAATGATGTTTTCTTCTGGTTAGATGCATCCCTCTTCACTCTGGAATAAGAGATCTTCAACAGTGTGTCTTTATCCAACCGTGTCAAAGGAAAAGCCACATGAGTACATTTCAAAATTTAGAAATTAACTTTCCTTACTTTCTGGTTTAACAAGAGGCTAAAATGTTCATTTTCTAGTTTGAACTTACAATATTAAATAAGTAGGAATACATCTGGAAATTCTAATAGTGTATCACTTAAAAAAATGTTTCTAATGCATTAAGTCAGAGGAGTAGAGATAATAAAGTTTCCTAGATTATTTTTTCAATGAGGACAGTAACTTTAACTCTTGTGATGTTCAATACCTGATTTGGACATTATTTTTCCTTGGGAAAGGAGACTGTTTTTCAAAAGAGAGTTATGCTTGCCATCCAAATTTGGCCAATGATTTATTGATAAGATCCATAGGCTTTAAGTTCATCAGAGAATTTTGCATGTTTTACTAGAGTCTTAGCACAGACTGCAAGTTCAGCATTACTTCTACGTGCTGCTCTGCTGTGGGAACTTTCTATTTCTTCAGAATTTCATTTCTGCTAATCCAGGCCATTCCTCCCCACTCCCTTGTTACCCATAGTCCTCAAGGAAAATCAGTCAGGGCTGCTCCCCATCTGCCTTCCTATCCCCTTGGCCCTCTCAGGTGACTCCCAAGGACTTGCCACTCTGGCCTTTCCTTAAGCTGCTCTTCCTCACTTTGTGCTCCTCTTTTCCAAAGCAATCTGCAGTCCTCTCAGTCTGCGACTGAGCTTCTCTCTTCATCTTACTGGTATCCTCAGGGTGCAGTCACAGACTTGCTGCATGGTGTCCACTCTGTGAGGCTGAGCTGGATCTAGGGCTCTAGTGCACCCTTGGATGGCAGCATTGGCTGCTGCAAAAGTACAAAGACGACTCTCTTGGTGCACACAGTGACCAACTAAGGGTCTACTTGATGGTAGCTGGGAACAAGTCATTAACTTCCTGGATCTCATGCCCATCATTTGGTGATTCAGTGGCACCAAGCTTATTTCATTTGCCTGTTCTGTTATCTCCTTAGTTACCTCTGCAGTTTCATTTCTCCTTTTGAGCCCATGTCTGGCTCATGACATCTTCATGATTGATTCCCAGGTCATTGGCTCTTGTGTCTGTAGGGACTCCTTTGACTTTTCCCCTAATTGGCTCCCTACTGCTCACTGGCATTGCCATCTGAGCTCTAGAGGGGCAGTGAGACTGCATCCCTCATGCCTCCCAGGTTCTCCTCAGGGACATGCAGTGCCTTGGGGTGCAGGAGGCCAGATTCTGACTCACACTGCCCAACCTTTGCTCACCCTGCAGAGGTGTGTGGCACAAGTGGCAGTGTAGGAGGTGGTGCTGGCTGCAAAGACTGCCCAGATTCTGAGCTGGCAGCAGCCTGAGCCAGGGGTGGCTCAGCAGGATGAGGTTCAGGAGCAATGGTTGGTGGTGTGATGGGGAACTGACTTGTCCCCTCTTCCTTAGAGGACCTTCAAATGGTCTTATGTGGGAGTCTTTTCCTGACATCTGTTTCATTTTTCAAAGATGAACCTCCAGCTTCAAACCTAGGCTAAAACTGCAGCATATATGTGGGCAACACGTGGGCGAGAGACTCAAACTTCACTTTGTAGATTTTTCTTGATAGTTTTCAGCCCATACCTCAATCCAGTGTTTTAGGATCCCTGAGCCCTTCGATTCTCTCATTTTTCCAAGAATACTCCTCCAGTGTGGGAGAGAAGTTATAAACCTGGCTGCACTTGTGTGTGAAGGGGATAACCTGCAGACCCTGTGTCAGTGCCCACACCCTGAGTCCCGAGCCTCTTTCCTGAGTCTTGGTGGCCTGTCTCTGTTCTTGGGTGTTCCATTTGGACTGCTTTTGTGGTTGCCTCCTTCTCTACCAGTTTTCCGCTCAATGTCTTTAGTTTTCTTGACTTCGAATATTCCTCCATTCTCTCTGTTGTGGGGCTTCATACCTAACCTTGGGATCCCTTTATTATTGGTGACTGGGAAGGCAGAAGAGCTCAGTCTGTGGTCTTTACCTGGAATTCACACACTGGTCTATATGATAAAGGTTTGACCAGTGGACTTGGGCAGAAATGAGAAAAGTGTGATTCAGAATGGGAAAAAAACAGGCTTGAGCTTAAACGTGTTAAATTTGTCTAAAGTTAACCCCATACATTTTACGTTTGGTGTAAAGTTTTCTCCACGTGCAGAGCTGGACTTAACCTGATGTGCAAACACTGCAACCTTCTTAGTAGAAAATAGCTGAGACTCAGCCAATCAGAAGAGGCCAACTGTTCAAACCAGAATCAATCAAGTGCTAACCAACTGGGCTTTCTCTGTCCTCCAGTTCCCTTTTCTGTATTTACCTCCTTTCCCTGGCTATGAAAACACCCAGGTGATGGAGCAGAGCATTTTGGACTATTTTTTTTTTTTTGGTCTGAATGGGTGCCCTATTTGAGAATTGTCAATAAAGTCACCATTACCTATAAAATAAATTTTGCTGAAATTTTACTTTTTAACAAAAAGAAATATTTATTTTCTGGGCAGTATACATTTGGGTATTCGATACAGCGCCAGGCCCCACCATTGGACTCCTGCTGTGATTGTCTCCCAGGTTCCACATCATAGCCTTGGAGAGAGTGAGGTCACTGTAGACACTGGAGTGGTTCAGCCTGTGGTCATGGCATTCTGGGTGGACCTGGAGGGGAGGCTGCCAGATCTTGTTAGGGACCAGCGAAACGTTGGAGGAAGAGACCATAAGAGACTGTTTCATGCAACAGCAAAAGGGTTTATTTGGGGACCAGCATGCTGGGGCTCAGAGCTCACTAGAGCAAAGAGAGAGAGCCCTGAGAACAGCTTAAGCAGAGCTTATATATTTTCCTTGGAGAGGGCAGGGAGGGAAGTTCATTGATGGTCAGGGCGAGTGGGCAGTTTGCCTGCAACCGAGTGAGGGAGTGCATCCTGCAGTTTGGCAGTTGGGGACAGCACATTCTGGGAACAAGATTAGCAAACAGTTCACAGTTGGGGACAGCACATCCTGGGAACAAGATTTCAACAGTGTTTTTTTAAGCATATAGAAAACCAGAGTGACAAGTACCTATTTTATTAACCTTTCAATCTGAAAGACCCCTGTGGGGATGCAAGAGGTCATGGGATTGAGGCACGTGCATCTGGTCTGAAATCAGGTCCCTCTTTCCTTGACTGTGACAACAGGTGCTTTTCTTTGCTCAACCTGCTGTGGAATGGAGACACCAACATTAACAACCTGAGTCATGAGGTTGAAGGAGAACAATCTGTGCAAGGCTGAGGCCTACACTGGAGCCCAGAGAGGGGGCATGCAGTATCTGCCTTAGGGTAGCCCAGGTCCTAAGTCAGCAATCAACATAGACTAGGTATGTGTACACATCTGTAGAATGAAAGAATGAGTTTGTTGAAGGAGCCACACAAAGAACTGAGTAAAAATGAGCTCTGTGATACACAAATCTTTAAAAACCTGCACTGTGCAATTAACTTAAGGGGTATAATTTCAGCAGCTATTCCTAGGAGACATAAAACTAAGAGGTGTTCATTATATGTGACTTCCCTAGTGTCCCAATATGGAGATTTGGGGTAATCTGCTAGAGAGGTTACGGTTCTACCATGGGCCAGGAAACCCATGTTGGGGTCAATCAAGTCTCTTCTGCCCCCAAACATGTCACTCTAAAACTCCAGCTGAGGGTTGCGGATATAGATATGTTGGTAGAGTGCTTGTCTCGAAGGCACAGGCCCTGGGTTCAATCCCTAGACAACAATAAAACAAAAACAAAAAACTCCAGCTAAAAATTTTACCTTGTGGTTCCACAACATCTGGATCCAACATTATGATACATTTTCTTCCTCTGCCACTTACACTATCACCACCAATGTCCCCAGGTTTATAACAATGAGCAATATTTGGAGACTCCTTGCAAGGCCCAGGAGTCAGAGCAGGGTGGCCCTGGCTGGCCAGCCTCATTTGTCCTTCATCTCACGCTCACTGAGCTTCTCAGAAAGTGTCCTGGAAGGTCAGCAATGCGACATTTCCACACGCACTTTGCACTAGGGGACCCAAGACTTCAAGACAGAGGAAGGATGTTAAGAAACGTGTGCTCGGAAATACCATTAAATTGCCCAATTATCCAACGTCGTGATTTCTATTTTTGTGATTTTTATGTTCCCCAACCTCCTCTCACTTCTTTCATTGACCAACATCTGCTCAGCCATCCCTCGGCTTGTCCTGTGCTCTTTTCAACTAGACCTGATTAGACCGCCATATTCATCTCCACATTGTCCACTTTTACAAAATCCTACTAAGTCGTTTAACCAGAAAGTCCCACCTTCGGTATCTGATCACCCTTGGCATTTGGTTCCTTGTTTTCCACCACCACACTGGTGGTGTGCGATCTCCCTGGCTGCCTTCAACGAGAGTCCTGTTAGGTGGTTCAGCCACATTCCTCCTGGGCCCCTGATGCTTCCTCTTAGTGATTTCCCATCTTTTGACCCCAGAGCTTGAGTCTTAGCCACAAACTCCCACTTGTCCATGCTGTTTTCACAGTTGAACCCCAAGTTTCTTCTCCTGTGAAAAACCCCATCCTGTGCCCAAACCTACAGCAATGGTTCTCCCCACCTTGACTGGTTCTCCTTCCTTATGTTCTTGGACAATCACTGAATAATTGATTCATTATGCATACTCAACAACTATCTGAATAATTTCTTATTCTTTACCCCCTCCTTCTTGTCCCACAATCCTCCTCATGCTTCTTTTTGTACTGGGGATTGAACCCTAAACCAGGGATCCCATGTGGGACCAATCAAGTCTCTTCTGCCTCCAAACACATCACTCTAACACTCTAGCTGTAATTAGAGGGCTTTATCACTGAACTGCATCCCCAGCCCTTCTCATTTTTTATTTTGTTGGGACAGAGTCTTGAGAAGTTTCTGAGCCTTCAATTTGGAATCCTACTGCCTTAGCTTCCTCAGTCTCTGGGATTACCAGCCTGTGACACTATGCCCAGTTCAGAATAATTTCTTCTTGAGCTCCTCCCTGATTCACCAAAACTTAAACCCCCTACTCTGTTCCTTCTCCTTTGTCTGTCCATCTCTTCTCCAGCCTCTAGCCATATCTTTCCCTTCTGTACTCACCCCTTCTTTGTGTAAGTGGTGGGGGCTCCCACAGGAACCTTCTGCCTGAATCCTGCAGTTTCCTGTCTCAGAGGCAACACCCCATGTCTGAAGAGGAGCTGGTGCAAATGAGCAGCTCTATTACTGCCCTGCTCAGTGGTTCAACCTGGACTAAAGGAGCCTTGAATTCAAATCTCCATGAAGCAGCCTGTTGCAGAGCCACATGCCCCAGGCTAAAGGTGAGTAAGGGGAGACAAGGCCAGGCCCCTGGAGTGGGAGCTGGAGAAGTGCAGGGTGCAGAGAGCTCCTGGGAAGGAAGCACACCCCGGAATCACTCAGTGGATAAAGATAACTGGGATGAAGCCAAGGAGACAGGAGCAGCATCGGCTGGGTCTGAGGTTGGCCTCTTACCCTCCTTTCTGTTCTTCCTGGTTAGCATGAGAGTAGCCTGCCCATGTGTGTTGGGCATGGGTGGACCTAGTTCTGGGTCCACCAAAACCACCACCTCCTTTACCACTTATATAACCAAATAAGAGAGGTGCTGTAATGTCTCCGTTCCATGACTGGGGAACTGCGTTTAAAAATCATGTGGTAACATTATACCTGAGGTCACACACCTGGGAAGCAGAGCCCAGGCCTACTCTGCCCTCTTAGCTACCACCTCTATTGCCATGGTGCTTCCTAGTGTTTATTAAGTGCAGGAGCCACACTCATCAACACCTCTGCGTCCCCTCCATTTCTTGACTTTCACCCCGTCTCTCTGGGTGTTTCTTCCTTTGTCCTGGAGCAGCATGAAGAGTGAGATTCAGAAACCTGGCAAGTATGCATCCCAAGTTAGGCAGGAGTCAGGATTTGGCACCAGCACTTGTGCCTGTGCTTGTCCTTGGAAGCACCTGTGTTCTATGCTGCTGTCACACCAGCCCCAGCCCCTGTTCTCTTGTCTATGTCCTCACAAGTCTGCTTGTTTGTCTCTCATGAAGCTGTGAGGTCCCCATACCCAGCCCCATCATGGTGACTACCACATGGTAAGAATGCCAACAGTAGTCACAGCTACCATTTCAGGAGCCCAAGCACCGGATCCTGTCCTGAGCACTTGCATTATTTTACTTAACCATCCTAGCAACCCTAGGGAGTAGGCTCAGAAAGGGTAAATCCCTGAACAAAGTCACCCAATGAATGAGTGGCAGAACCAGAGTGTGCACTCAGTATGACCCAGACTCTCTGCTTATGCCATCGAAATGTCTGATGAGCGAATGAATGCAATGTCAGGGTCACTGGGAATACTTTAGTTGGCTTGACAATTAAGACGATGGCTCATTTCTAAGCCAGTTGTCTGTTTACCTACAATACTACATACGGTTGAGAGTTTTAGTTTCTGAGCTGGGTGAGTAGGAACATGGTTTCTAGACTCAAAACAGAGGACTGGGATGCCTGGCCCAATTTGACAGTACCCTGAGAGGTCTCCAGCCATATCCTGTCTGTGCTGTGTGTCATAGTATTCTGAAGAATTTACCATCTGTAGGCTCCTCCATGATAAGAGTGCCAAGACTTGGACTTTCTGTTGCCTGTGTGAGCTGAAGACAAAGAGCGTCACAGTTCATATTAGAACCTAATTCCCTGCCTGCTTAAGACTCACTGTAAACCAGGCACCCAAGCCCTTACCAAGTGTCTGGCACGTGACAGGAGCAGTGCTGGGTGCTAGGGAACACAACTGAATGCGACCCTCAAGGACTTCACAGACCCCAATGACACTGTCAGGTACAGTGTCCGCCAGCCCCATGTGCAACCTGAATTCAATAACAAATTAGACTCCCATCTCCACATCTTATTTTTCCTTTATTCTTCATATACGCTCTGGACTTATTTCAGCCTAGCTCATGCCAGCCCAGTGACACTCTGGGGCTGGTTTCTGACTGCTGGGTCTATCCAGGACACTAGGAATGCCTTTAATATCTATTATTACTTAAGAAGAAAGAAGCTATCTATTGAGGAATAGTGGGGGGTGGAGAAGCATACTGGCTCTAGCCTCTATCTTCTTACCCAGAGCTCTTAGAGGACAGGTTTCTATTGAAATCTCTGGGATTCTTCTCAGTTGGGATCAGAAGCAGAGACCCAGCTAAGAGGGAAATCAATTTGTAGATCTAATATGAAAGAAGATACCATTTGCCTTAGCAACAAGCTGTATTATCTGGAAATTAGCTTCAGAATGAATGCACGTGTCCACATTTGTGTGAGTCTGTTTCTGGACTCATTTCTAAGCCAGTTGTCTGTTTACCTACAATACTACTGCACAATCGTCATAGTGATTATGATGCATCATGTCCTGATATCTGGTAGGGAGGATGTCTTCTAAAGAGAGTCTTGGCTGTTCTTAGTCCTTTGCACTTCTGTACTGGTTATAATATTTGTCAATTTTCCCCAACACATCGGTTGGGATTTTGATTAAAATTGTATTGGATCTGTATATGACACTGAGGAGCACCAGGGGTCATTTCATACAGTGGTATCATTTCACCCAATGTCATCATGTGGGCAGGATCAGGATCAGTCTTGCCTTGTAGGCTCTTCCACCTGTGTCAATGGGGGGAAGAGTCAGTGACTGAGAGTCTTAATTTGTAGGGTTGTGACGAGAATATATGGGCATCTCCCTCCACCCCCCCATGCCCCTCCCTCTTGCAGGAGGCATTTCCCAAGGGAAAAAGTCCCTGGCATGTCATGCTGTGGAGTCACAGAAGGAGGAAAATGGAGACTGGGAGGAAACAGAATCAGAACAGAATAAGCCTTGAGTCCCCAAGTACCTGTTACAGGAGCCTCATGCCCTGCCTGAGAGCCCTCGCATCTGTCTTCTTGCCCTCACTTTACGTTAGGGCACATCACGAGACTTAGGCTCCTAGAGCCCCCTGCTCACTCCCTTCTATGCTCTGTAGTTTCAGCCCTAGTTCCACAAAGAAGCCAGGGACAAATGCAGAACCTCCTGCAGCGGCAGAGAAGACAGGGTGGGAGAGGAAGTGGGTCTCTGGGAAAAGGAAATTGTTAAGCGTCTCTCTGGCATCCCAAGAGGGTTACCAGGATAGTAAGGTAACCAGGGTCTGGACATGGGAAAGGGTCTTGGAACTCACCAGAGAGATGCTCCAGGCTGAAGCTTGGCTTGCCCTCACCCTGCCTTCCTTGGGTTCCCAGGTCAGGCTGCTGGGCATTCAGATCCTGGCCATTCTGAACTGCATGGGGAGTAGGGATGCCATCCCCAGAATGCAAGTCATCAATGGCTCAGTCTGGTTTTGGATGACTGGATTGTGAGCGGGACAAGAAAAGAGGGAATTAGAAGGAAGGGCTGGGAGGAGGAGTAGGGGCCATGATGGAGGAGTAGCAGGAAAGAGGAGCAAGACGAACAGGCTGGCGAGTAGATGGTCCAGAAGGAAGAGAGGAAGAGCTGGGCATGGAGATATTTAAGGTGGGGTAGTAGGAACTGGCACTACTAGCTAGAGAAGGGAACCAGGTAGGGCAGAAGACAGAGAGGGAGGCGTTGCGCTGGACAGTAGATGGAGGGAAGAAAAATGGAGTAGTCAGGGGAGGAAGGCAGGTTGGAGGAGGAGCTGTTTGAGGAACAGAGGGAGGAGGAGGCTGGGGGTGAGGTGGGGAAATTTGAGGGCGCTTCCTTGTCATCATTTCAAACACTTCTGGCTTCTCAGCTTGCCACAGTCATGGTGAGCAAGTGATCTCATGCCAGAGCTGCTCCAGCAGTTATGCCACACATGAGGGCCCACATCACCCCAGGACTGCATGCCCATTGTGATGCCACCAACCCTGCACTTTGGCAAGTGAGTGGGTCTCACCAAGGGGCAGTGGTCCCAGTGCCTTGGTCTAAGAGTGAGCATGGGAAACAACCAAGAGAAGAAATGGGGCAGTGATATTAGTTCCTGTTCTTGAGATAATGTGCAGTTTTGACGC